TCAGGCAAGTCGGCTCGTGGGGTAAAATCGGCGGTGACTGGTGACACTACGAGCACGCCGGTGACACCAGAGGCTACTGCTGTGACAGAGCAAACGAAAACTCAGGCACCTGCTGAAACGAATGTGAAAAATAAAGGTGATCGATTTGGATGCTTATGTGGTACTCGGGAAAATATGCGTATTTTTAATTGCATACGTTGGTGAATAAATTTTGAGGAAATTTCGGAAATTTTTCATTGGTTTTTGTGCACATAAGGAAACTCCTGAGCTCAGCTGGTGAGGAAAGCGATTACATATATTCCTACTCCAACACTGTATAGGAAACTCCTGAGCTCAGCAGCTGAGGAACGCGATTGCATATATTCCTACTCCAACACTGTATAGGAAACTCCTGAGCTCAGCAGCTGAGGAAAGCGATTACATATATTCCTACTCCAACACTGTATAGGAAACTCCTGAGCTCAGCAGCTGAGGAAAACGATTACATATATTCCTACTCCAACACTGTATAGGGAACTCCTGAGCTCAGCAGCTGAGGAAAGCGATTACATATATTCCTACTCCAACACTGTATAGGAAACTCCTGAGCTCAGCAGCTGAGGAAAGCGATTACATATATTCCTACTCCAACACTGTATAGGAAACTCCTGAGCTCAGCAGCTGAGGAAAGCGATTACATATATTCCTACTCCAACACTGTATAGGAAACTCCTGAGCTCAGCAGCTGAGGAAAGCGATTACATATATTCCTACTCCAACACTGTATAGGAAACTCCTGAGCTCAGCAGCTGAGGAAAGCGATTACATATATTCCTACTCCAACACTGTATAGGAAACTCCTGAGCTCAGCAGCTGAGGAAAGCGATTACATATATTCCTACTCCAACACTGTATAGGAAACTCCTGAGCTCAGCAGCTGAGGAAAGCGATTACATATATTCCTACTCCAACACTGTATAGGAAACTCCTGAGCTCAGCAGCAGCTGGTGAGGAAAGAGATCATATTTAGGTATTACGAAAAAAGGCGGCGAAAATAACCCTTCTACACCCACTGTTATACAGCAACAACAACAAGAAGAAATCGAAACGACCGTTGGAACGACCGGCAGTCCTAAGGGAAGTGCGGTTCCACTGAATTCAGCTAGGGGGAGTGCCAGGTGAGAATATGTTGGAGTTGTACTCGTTTTACGCGATGTGGTGTAATACTCGGTGAAAAACGCGATATTCAACGCGGTGATATATGTTTTTTTCATGAAATTTCACCCTAGTGATATGAAAAATATATTTCACAATTCACTTCGCGGAAAACAATTGTGTTATCGGCGGTCGCGGAAAAACATATTAACGCCACTTCACGTTAAACGGGTCATCGTGAAACTCCATATTGCTACTATTCAGCAAATGGGTAATTGCAGATGCGGAGAAATTACGCAAACACTTTTTCTCCACGTTTTACGGTGTAGTGATTTCAGAGTTTCACGACCCGCGATATGAAAAACACTAGTGAAAATATATATTTCATAATACCGAATATCGCGTTTTTCACATTGAGTATTACACCACTTCACGTTAAACGGGTGATCGTGAAACTCCACCGAAAATTACAAATTATGGAGTTTATAGTAGAGAAAATTCCAAATCAGGCTGTTGTGATTTTGAAAAAAAATAAACAAAGTAGTGAAATTAGAATTAGATCTTCGTGAGGAAGAGGTGGAGCTCTATAGATTCGATCAATGGAGTTTCTTGACCCTAGTGATATGAAAAACACTGGTGAAAAATATTCATATAGAATTTATATATTTTTTTGTATATACGGCGAGTATCGAGTTTTACGACGCCACTTCACGTAAAACGGGTCGTGAAATTGTATTGGAATTTCATCGTTTTTCGTGAAAAACGCGATATTTGCGCCTTGAAATAGTCGTGAAATATGTTTCTCACTAGTGTTTTTCATATCACTAGGGTGAAGAAACTCCATTGTTATTACTTGTTAGAGTGTCCAGTGGGAATAAGAAGAGTACGATGAGCAAGGCAGCTACTACTGCTGGATGCAGACGACAGTCGAAGTCTGGCTCTAGAGCTGAGGAGAAGCGAACTGAGATGGCGACGGTTCCTGAGGAGAATGAGCTTAGTGGTTACGGCGCGGAAAGCATGGAAACAGCACACTGGGGAACGGTAAGTTGACGCGTAGTGAAAAAGTCGATATTCGCGGTGATATGCAGTAGTTGTGAAATATATATTTTCTCACTAGTGGAGTTTCACGATCACCCGTTTTACGTAAAGTGAAAAAAAAAACTCGATATTTGCGGTGATATGCAGTAGTTGTGAAATATAAATTTTCCACTAGTGTATTTTATATAAACTCCATCGAAATTTATTATTACTATTGACATACATACATGAACATATGCGTAATTTCTATCTCTATTCAGATGCCACCAGCTGGGCAGTGTCACCCTTTACCCGGTTTCTACCCTCCGAATGGCATGCCTCCTATGATGATGTTCCCGGGGCCTGGTTACCCCAGCGTTCCTATGTTAACGCCGATGTTGCCGCAAGGCTATGGACCGCTTATGGGTGAGGTTTTTGGAAATTGGGAAATTCTGTAAAAAAAAATAAATTTTGTGAATTTAGCGCGTTTTTTAGACTTTTTCGGTTGGAGGAGTACTTTGCTTTTTTTTCGTCGCACGTGAAATCAATGGAGTTTCTTGACCCTAGTGATATGAAAAGCACTACATATCACCGCGAATATCGCGTTTTTCACCGAGTTTTACGACGCCACTTCACGTAAAACGGGTAATCGTGAAACTCCCTGTGTTGGAATATACGTTAGCCTGATATCACTTTTACTAAATTACCAAAAAAACTATAAATAATGGCAAAAAAGTTATCAGAATTTTCTCGAAAATGGGCATTTTTTTCTTCACATAAAATGTCATCATTTTTCACGATTTTGTTATTTTCAGGTAATCTGCCACCCTATGATCATCCTCATTTCGGACCGGAAGGTGAAATGAACTCATCACGTGGAACTCCACAGAAGAAACGGTCGAAAGAGGCTAATAGGAAACAACAACAGCAGTGGAATGGCGTCTCTCCGATGCAGGGAGGACTGCCACAGGCTCATATGTATGTATGAATATCGGTTGAATCAATAAAGGAGTTTCTTGACCCGTTTTACGTGAAGTCGGTAGGAAAACGCGATATTCGCGGTGATATGCAGTAGTCGTGAAA